TCTATGCACTAAATTTCATCAAAAACCGATGTATGGTTCTTGAGATAGCAGTGGAACAGTCGGACACACATACACACATAGACAGACAAACTGCAAAGACTCCCATTATGTGCTTCGCACATGGGAGTCAAAAACAAGATGCCTGCCAGTCGACCATCTTTGATCCAATTGCGAAATAAATCGTCTTGGACATGTATCCTAACATGTATAATCTATGTACCAAGTTTGAATGAAAACTGATAAAGCATGTCCAAAATACAACATTTTCAAAAAACAAGATGGCTGCCAGTCGGCCATTTTGAATCTAATTGCTAAACCACTGCATGTGCATATGTCCCACATAAGGTACCAGAAACATACAAAGAATGAACGAAATCGGTCCACAGGATTTTGAAATATGACTCTGGACAGACTGACGCACGGACGAATGGATGGACGGACAGACAGACTCAGGAACTCACGGACGGTCGGGGACATGCATCTTAACATGTATGATTTATGTACTAAATTTGAATGAAAACTGACAAAGCATGTCCAAAATACAACATTTTCAAAAAACAAAATGGCTGCCAGTCGGCCATCTTTGATCCAATTGTGAAATAAATCGTATTGGACATGTATCCTAACATGCATAATCTATGTACCAAGTTTGAATGAAAACTGATAAAGCATGTCCAAAATACAACATTTTCAAAAAACAAGATGGCTGCCAATCGGCCATTTTGAATTAAATCGCTAAACCACTGCATGTGCATATGTCCCACATAAAGTACTAGGCACAAGCAAAGAATGAACGGAATCGGTACAAAGGATTCTGAGATAGGACTCCGGATGGACGCACGGAGACCGAATTATAAGTCCCCGTTTTCGGACTTCGCATACCTAGTGACACCATGAATCTGATTGGTTGACATGGCCATGAGGTGTAATAAAATAATTAGCATACCTAGTGACACCATGGTAGTAGTAAACTTTGCCTTCTGCATCACGTGCAGTCTTCCAATTAGGAGGCAGTATAATAGGTTTAGGTTTTGGAGGTGACGGTACATCAGTGCTTTGTGGTTGTACAACCTGTACTGGTTGAGACATCTGAGACGGGTTTAATGATGCTAATTGCTGGTTTAACTGCAGTTGTTGTTGTAACTGTTGCACCTGTAATATGTATATACCATATTTGCTCTATAAGAGGCTTACATTTGTATATCAACCAAAAATCACATCTGTTGTAAATTGAATCATTAAACTTTTCACCACCAGTTCCCTCGTTTCATAACAAATTCACAAAATAGTCCCAGCTTGCATTTTCCTTCAGAAGCTTTGAACAGAAATAGCCAAATATTGAAATGAAATTTTTTTTAAAAGAAAAAAATTTAAAATTTAGTTAGAATTGTCTATTGGTGGTGAAAAGGTTAAACTATTACATATTTTGACTGTGAAAATACCTCTGCAATTCAAGTAAGCATATGCACTGCTAACAGAGAAGGCATATAAAACAGGCATATTTATAGTTGGAAAAATAACACTTTTTACCAAAAATATTCATTAAAATTAGAGACAAACAAACCAAGGTACATAAAGTATCAAAGCATGCAGAAGTCAAAAATGTATAGTTGACACAATAGACAAACAATAATATGAACAGCACTGCTTTGTCAACAGTGGAGCTAATAACAATTAACACTCTACATTTGTGTACAAGTCAGTTACATCACAAAAACCGACATTTATTATTTAGAAACATCGTCCCATTACAAATAATCCTCCTGTAATCATAGTATATTGTAATAGTTCACTAAAGGTTTGTATAACTGCAGGCATAAAGCAGGAAAATCAGATCAGATGGACTTTGATGAACATGAGACACCATGTTGTTGAAAGATCAATTTGAATTCACTGTTGCCATATGTGGACAACTTGTATGACCTGAGACATGAATTCTCATCTTGGACAACTTGTATGACCTGAGACATGAATTCTCATCCTTGACAACCCCTTGCCCCACCATCCCTGACTTTGTATAGTCCTACCCCACAACATGATCAATTGACATGTTGGCCATCGTTGTAATCACTTGAATAGACCCTTTAGCTCAGTTTCAGTAGACAAGAGAAAATAGAAACAAACCTGCTGTATATTCTGTTGCATATTAGGATCAGATATCTGTGTTATTGTTTGCTGTACCACCATACCATCAGGAGTAACATAGGTTGTCGTCTGTCCAGGCATCCGAGTTGGCGTCGGAACAAAGTTCTGGTATAGAAAGATAGCAATTATCAGATTTAACATCACACAAGACAGGTTTGTATATTGTTATTGAATTGCAATGCAGTTTCAACTGACCTGATGGACTGGTAGATGTGGCTGCGGGGCCACATACGTTTGCTGTACAACATACCCATGTGGGTTTGATGAAGCTTGCTGAGATGAAAGCTGTTGTGATGGAAGATGTTCAGATGAAAGTTGTTGAGGGGTCTGTGGTTGTTGGTAAACTGGGGGAAACTGCTGCTGTCCTGTTCTATCAAACTGTGGCTGTGGTGGCGGTGGTAAACCCTGACTTGGTTCCCACGATTGAGACGGATGCTGCACTGTACGAGGCATATCCATTGCAGGTTGTGATGAAGGCTGTATCCTTGATAGGCCATCCATGGCTGGACTGACATGTTGCTGCTGCTGTTGTTGTTGTTGTTGCTGCTGCTGTTGCTCAAGAATGTCATGAACATTACGATGATCAATATCCAAAAGTGGAGGCCGAAGTCCTCTGGGATCCATTGGCATCATTCCCATGTCAGATGACATACTGGCAGAATGTATATGTGGAGTAGTGGAATCTATAGACATATTATGCATTGGCATTTGTTGGTGTACAGGGGTTACACATGGATCTGGCATTTGATCCCTCATGGTAGGATTGTTTTGTTCCCCTGGGTAAGCAGGGTCTGGAAGTATTGGATGTTGCGGTGGTAACGGGAATGCATTATTTTCTGGCAAACGATAATGGGGCACAGACTCTTGATATCCTTGCTGCTCATTGTAGAATCTCTCTTTCTGTTTTTTCATTTCATCCTCGCGTTCTTTTCGTTCCACCATCCTTTCAAACTGATAGCGTCTTTCATGTTTATTTATCTTTGGTGTCGCCACTTTCTTTTTACCAAATGTTTTTTGTAATTTTGGTGGAGTGGAATAATCAGAACTGTATCTATCAGAGTCAGATTGGTGTCGTCTACTGTCGTCATAGTAACTATAGCTAGGACTACGAGACCTTTTCCTGCCATGTCTATCCCGGTAACTATCCCTGGACCTATAGTCATCTCTATCACGATGATTGTCCTTTCCATGGTATCTATCCCAGTCTCTATCTCTGTCTCTATCTCTGTAATTATCACGCTCTCTGTAGTGATCTCTATCACGCTCTCTGTAGTGGTCTTTGTCTCTTTCCCTGAGTTGGTCAATCACCTTATCTCTATCTTTATCTCGATCTTTATCTCGGCTTTTCAATTCAGTCTCATGGTCAAATTCCTTTTTCTCAATTCTGTCTTTTTTGGGTATTCTGAATAGTTCCTGAAAACAATGCAGAATATTGAAACCGTCAATGAATACACTAGTAGATGAATAATATAAGCAGCCTCTCGGCTGAGATAGCTCCGCTGTTAGCAATGTACATTTCAAGCAAAGAACTGAAGATATCATTAGAAAATAAACAAAATGTATAGTATCAAAGCAATCAGACTTGCTGTTTTCAACAAGATGTCGAAAATATCACTTTTTACCAAAAATAATGAAAGTATCAAAATTAGATAATTGTAGCTATCATCATGAAATGAACAAATCTGAGAGAGGACTACCTGTAGTCTGATACCAATACATGTATGTATAGTATCAAAGCGATCAGACTTGTGGTTTTCAACAAAAAGTCTGCAATATCATTTTTTACCAAAAATGACAAAAATATTCATGAAAATTAAGAGAATTGAAGATACCATCATGAATGACAAATCTGAGAAAGGTCTACCTGTAGTACCTATATATATGTATATATAATATCAAAGCAATTAGACTTGCGGTTTTCAACAAGAAGTCGAATAAGTAAAAAGTTGACACGGACTACGTAGGACAATCACTCATATGATGAGCTCCGCGGAGCTAAAAAGTGGTAGACACATCTACCACTATTTTGAATCAAAAGTTACCTGGCATGGGAGGTCAGCGTTCAGATGGTACCGGATTCTGTCGTAAATTCGCCCATCCGAGAAATCATCCTGGGCAATTTCACGGCTGGTGGGCCCTTATTTGGGGTTCAAAATTTCAAAAACCGATCATAAAATATTTTCATTGAATAATCCACCGTCTTTCAATGAAAATGATGGATGATGCCAACGTGTTCAAATTACAATAGCTCATTTAAATATGTTAAAGTTATTGAACGAAGCACGGAAGAGATTTGCTGATGTTGTTGTACGATCTTTTGGCTTGGATTTTGATGGGAAAGCAGCATAATTTGTTTTTAAAAGATAAACTGAGCATTTGAAGAATAATTTAACATTATTTACAGCGATAACAGCTCAGTGTCGAAACATCTTACCTATTCACGCTAGTCGCCATAAACATCATATTTGAATAGTCGTTAATGACTACGGCGAAACTTTCAGGCATCAGAAAAGATTAAAATAACACCTTAAAAAAATGCTGAAAAATCACCTTTTTATATTTTTTTAAACCCAAACTGTCGTTCAACTGCCCAGGGCGAATTTACGGCAGAATTCGGTAACAGGTGACCCGGGAAATCAGTTTTTAATGGTATTCTCAGGGGCGGACATCCAGGCATTTTCATCGCCTGGCAACCATCACGGTGAAAACAAAGGGTAAGTTGTTGAGACTCTTCTGAACAGTGTAACAAGATTATCCCTACATGTGTAGCATATATAAATTTGGTTGCTCAGGATTACTTCAAAGTTGAGTTTGTACTGTTCAGGACTTTAGGTGTTTTCACCGGCTCTTCAACTGACGTTCAACAGCAGCTCTCACAGAGCCCATAGAAATACATGGTACGGTGGTGCACATCTTCGCACATAGCTCCTCCCCCCCAAGAATAAAGTGACCTGGGAGGTCTGTGTTCAGATAGCAGAAGGCTACTTATCAGGTGATTTGTCTTTTGATTTACATGAATAACACATTCCTGTCATAGTTATTAGAAAAACACTTTCTTTACCTTGAGTGTACTCCATGAATCCAGTAATTTGGAAGCAATTCCAGCAATTCCTGACCCATCATCTTCTAGTGAATCAGAATCAGAATTTCTTTCATCTTTTTTACTTTGCAGGCTGCCTTGCATATTGGGAACCTCATCTTTAATTTCACCAGGTTCCATGGCATCATCTTTTACTGGGTGTATCCTGTCAGTTGTTGTACTCTCACTGTTAATAGTAATGACACTGTCTTGTGAGTTCTCCTCAACAATACACACTACGGCAGTAACCCCACTAGTAACAGTGTCTGCTTTCACAGATTCATCCACAACTTGTATTTTACCATTCTCCGTACCTTCAGGTACTACTTTTTTTGAAATGTCCTGAGCCGTACTATCCTCGGTACCGTCAGGTACTACTTTTTTCAAAGTGTTCTGGTCCACACTATTCTCTGAACCTTCAGTTAGTACTTTTTTAGTAGTGTCCTGACCCATACCATCTTCCAAGATTTCACCTTCTTCAGTTTCCATGGTTACAACAGTAACAGCTGACTTTTTCTCCAGTTCAATATCTGATTTCTTGTTTACATCTGACGTAGACACATCATTACTATTCTCGTTTAAAATGTCGGGTTTTCTTAATGCTATTTTCTTTTTTGCAGCTTTATCATACTCAGCTTCTGCAGCATGGGAGGGACTATTGTGCTGACTGGATTGGACAGCCATTGGTGTGGCTGCTCTTGAAGGGTTTTCACTTGCACTGGAATATTCAACCTCTGTGTCTGCTTTTACTGTGCACTGTTTTTCTTGCGAGGCCCATGTTTTCACTACTGACATCACTCGACTTTCTTCTATAATTGTTCTGTTTTGTATCGGCAAATGTGATAATGTCAGTAAGATCTAGTAAAGAAATAGAAAAGCAGCTATTTAAACATAGAAATCGATACATAGCAATAGCATAATGACCAATCTAAGAATCAAGG